GGTATTAGTACTAGAGCTATAGTATTCATTCACACAATATGTACATAAGAAATGAAAGCAAGCAGGACTCCAGGAGATCCCAGTGCTTCTCTCCCAGCCGCGTCACTGGTATTGTAAGCCGGAGGACACTAGAGCAACAGACGCTCAGGACTTGAGTGAAGAATCAAGCCACTACCGTTTTAACCTCCGAGGAGGATTGTAGGGATGACTGGAGCTAGATAGAGACTGTGGTACAGGATTAGAATGATGAGTGAAATTCTGGTGAAATTTGGAAAATTTGTCTGGGATAAGGTCAAGTACTAATGGGATATTAAGATCATTGTGTAGGTTTTTATTGGTTACATTAAAGGGAGCATCGACTATTGAAGAACTTTAGACTGGAAGGATTGAATGCGTTTGATGTTGGAAAGTTTTGCTTTCCCCCACAGTTCGAGTCCGTAAGTCCAGATAGGTTTCAGAATTGTCTTGTAGATTAATAGTTTGTTCTCAACTGAAAGTTGAGATTTTCTATTGAGTGGTCTATGTAGTTGGCCATATCGTCGGTTAGGTTGTTGTGTTTTAAGTCTGGTATCTGGGTTCCATAAATTTTTCCACAGTGTAGAAACAACAATGTTAAGTCTGGTATGCTTTTTAAAATTTTCTTTAGGGAACTGTGTTCGTACAGTTGTCAATAGAGGCCATTGTTCTTCAATCTAGAAAAAATCGGAATCTTTAAATCTACAAGGAAGCTTTCCACACTTGGTGTGTTCGCCCTACTTGGTGTATTTCCCAAATTTTATTCAATTATATTCAATACTAATATTTCATATAGTGTCAAAATATGTTATTTTGCAGGGTTTCCAACCCTCGCTCCGGAGGGCGATGTAGCCAGTTGTTCAAATTTCTATGGTCTATTCCAAAAAATAATTTTGCCTTGTTGTCTGGTTTGTAAATTTCCCAAAACTGCAATGTTACAAAAATATATTTTTATCCCAAAAATTTCAAACACCGTAAACATTTGTCCTCCTCAACAATTTATAATCCAGTAAAAATGTGCCTCCTTTTCGTGAGTGCTAATTCGCCACAGTTTTTTAAAATGTTATAATCATCATTTCATATCCACTTCTTGGATTCAGCTATATATCTTAGTTTTCATTGAATTTAAATTAAAGAATCCTAATTTCCTATGTTATGATTTTTAAATGTTTTATTTTATTTTGTATTTCCTTCTTCTTTTTTTTTTTTTTTTCTTCGAAAGTCCAGTAGTTCGAAGAAAATGCGCAGATAGCGGACGGACCAAAACAATTTAATTCGTTTTTCGAATTCTGCGTATCCTGAAACGTAAAACCTCAAATTTTGAGAAGGGGTTAATTTTTTGAATTTTTTTTTTTCGATCACAATGGTTTACAATCGAAAGTAATAACCCAAAAAAACCTCTATCATTGTATTCTTATTGACCAAAACATTTTTTTAGAATTTCTACTAAGAACCTTGGATGTGTTATTTTGAAATTTTTTATGATAAAATCTATAGCTAGTCACTAAATCCGTTATATACCATACGACATTTTAAGTTTTTTTTATCTTGATATTTATATTAGCTTTGTAAAATTATTGTCGTGCTTTCAAAAACGCTCAAAATCAATAGCACTTTTCTTAATTAATCGTGACAAAATGATATACGATTAAAGGATATTGGAATTAACCGCGCTGTAGGAAGGCATCCATTCTTTCCAAGCTTAAGAAACTCCATAAGAAAAAGGAAGTTTTTTATTCGAAATTATGAACTGAGGAGTTCAGAAGTTAAGCAATTTGTTAAAAGTTTTTGGCTGAACTTTTCCAATCTGGTTCTAAAGGATTTAGGACAATCCTGAATAACTTATGCACTGAAAAAAACATGGATGCTTACGTAAGAGTATATCGGTGATAGATGCTATTCAGTTTGAAAAAAATATATGTTAATACTATAATGTATTGAGAGCCTTCATCCACTGTTGATCAAGATTCATTTTCACATTTGTGAAGTTTTCATATTTAAAGACTTTGAAAATGAATATATTACCTTATCTACATAATAAAATAAAGGTTTTGTCTGTACATTCATATAGAATCAACCCGTTTCATATATTACAGACACCAAATCGACTTTTAAAAAATTGTTTGTCTGTATGTTCGCATTGTCCAATGAAATTTTTTCAGGTGTAAGCTCAGCAACGGCTAATGGTAGACTTTTGAAATTTAGACATTATATTTAGGTTTGCTTGACTTAAAACATAGGCTTTAAATAAAAACCAAATATTGAGTAGAACCAAACTTATGAATCCTTGAGTAGTTTATCTAGAGATTTCAGTTAGGCAGTTAATTCGATTCTCATCCCAACCTAGTCTACATTTCAAAATTGTGCTATTCAACTGATGGGAAAAATTATCACAACTCAACGGGAAAAATCCAAAATCCTGGACATCTGTAACGCGTTGTCTCTTAAAACACAATATATTTTTGATGTATATATGTTTTTGAGTGAAACAAGAATCACATAGAATGGTCCAAGAAGAACCCTTGAAGTAGGGATTGAAAATGTTCTTTTGTGAATATCCGTAAATTAAATAATTTAAAATAATAAGTGAACGAGCTAAGGTAAATTAATTTTATATAATGCAATTTAATTGGACCTTAACCTCATTTCGTAAGTTATTAAAGTATATTCTCGAGGTTAATATAACTAATCAACATAATCGTTCTCTTCAGAGATGGGATGAAAACCACTGCTCACTAATTCATTGCTGTGAATGACTCGTTTCATTTTTTTTCCGAAAGAAAGTGAAAACAGACGACTGAAATTACTTTATCCTCCTTTAGGTGGGGAGGGATCCCCCCCCCCTAGTATATAAAAAGAAATCAAATTTCATCATTAATTTAATTATTCTTACCACGGAAATAATAGACGATTTCGAATTCGACGCACTTTCGAAAATGTACCTAGTGCGATTTATTTGCGGCTAGATTCTAGCCCTTTTAAAGTTAGAGCTGACCATTTGGGCTTAACGGCACGCCATAAACGTTTTTGGCGGTCAAACGATTCCCCGAAACGGAGCTTATCGAATTTATATAAAGCGGTTATCGTTTTTCGTCCTATTACTTCCGGTTATCTAGTTGTGCCTGATTTATGTTTATAGAACTTGTACTATATTTTGAATCGCTGCCGTTGGGTGATATATGGCCATCGATATTACTTTGTTCTCAAGCTTTACGGTTTTTGTGCTCTGCATTTATTCTTTATACAATGGAGTTGGTATCTTTTTTTTCTTTTTTTTTAATGTATGGCATCTCCTATAATATATTTATGTTTTACTGTTTAAATTTTGAATGATCAATTTGTTTAAATTTCCAAGTTATAAAATTTATCTGTATTTCAGTAGGTACGTAATATAAACAGTTGAGTACTACAATGACATCATTTTTTAAAAAAAATATTTTTTCTTTATGATTAAATTAATTGATAAAATTTGAGATTAGATCAAAAAGTAATATTCATATGGGTAAACGAATATTTCTGATTTTCAAATACTGGAGAAAACTTTTTTTTTTTTTTTTTTTTTTTTTTATAGATTCAACTCAATCTGTTTCTGATGATTTTATCTAAGAATTTTCAAGTTGATTCATTAACAAAAACCATCATAATTGGATTAAATTGAAGCTATGTTAAGAAAATTGGACATATTATAAAAATGTAATAATGGATAACAACAAAAATTATCATAGATATATACCTTGACCTACAATAAATAATAATTTTAATAAATATTTTCTCCCATGGAACAAATTAAAAAGATATATTTATCCATTACATTTTTTTTCTGACGTATCACCATTGGTACACATTCGTGTACAATGATTTGGGAATTCCCAATTTAAAAGATTCATTGAAATCATTATTCCCCCATTTATGATTACCTCAATCATTGCAAATAAAAAAAAAATCTACAAATGTTTGGTTCTTATTTTTATTAATGTTTGACTATTCAAATAATCATCGTAGGTAATCTTTATTAATTAAGAAGAAAAAAATATTTCTGTTTGAACGTGCAAAAGTTATTTTATTCTGTACTTTTCTTGTTTCAAAGTTCTTGTTGTAGTTTAGTAACTCTTATTTAGGAGACTTGTGAGAATTATTATTCCAATTATTATTACTTTTACAACTACAACCCATGTTGGGTTCTCTACTTTGTAGGGGAACATTGTTTCTTGCTCATAGGTTTGTGCAAAGAGATAGTTTGATTGAGATTACGTTCAATCGCCAGGTTTTCTCCTAACTAGAGAGGCCCATGTAATAGAGTGTGTTCTCCAAGAGGTATGTTGAGTATGTTGGTCCCAGAATCGATCCACAACTGATGTGATAGTATTAATCAATATTATTTTTATTAATCTAAATTTCATTTTTAATGATGAACTTTTCCTTTACAAACTCCGTCAATTCCTGCCCTATTTTTTATATATGGTTCCGATGGTTTCGACTAATCCGTTCCAATCTCACTGGAAGAACTTTTAAAGTAAATCATAACTCTGCCTATTGTTCTCTTTTTTCCCAACCTCCTAGTCTATTCCAAAATCCTTCGTAAAATCCTCAAAGATCCTTATTTTATCACAAATAAAACATGAATTAAACACAACATTCCCTTTGACGAAAATTTGGCCCGAATCATATATCCTTTTTTAATTCCAGATTTTTTGGTCACTTTCACCGAATTTTTCATAACCTTTCATACAAAACTATTCCTGAGAACCATCTGAGTCATCTGAAAAGAAGATGGCCAAGGGACCTCCTAAATAAATCTAATCATTGAAGTGCTACGAATGGGTAGCTTCTTCACAAGTTCTTATAATGTTTTATATTCTTTTAGTTGTATATATGTATACAGTTGGAAATATAAATACATAAACAAAATTATAAACTAAACCATAAAGTAAAGAAAAAACACTAATTAGAGATTTCAGAAAGGCCAATAAAGAAGAAGTAAGTCATTAAGCCCATTCTTTGAGGGCCTTAGTGCCCGGAATGGGCAAGTTAGCTGCCGGCCTATACATACTAATAGTACCCAGGTGACCGCTACGTCTTCCGCCCTCCAAAACTAGTTTAGTCCAATTTGCACTTCCTCCAAGTCTCCCTAACTTCGTAAGCTATCAGGCAACTTCGTATGAAGCGTCTGTTTATGTGGTACCTGCGTTTATAACGTAGCCTCAGGTATCAGAACTTTTGGAGGATTGTTGAGTTTCTCTGACGTCGCTCGAGGCTGATATGACTTTAAACTCTTCCATCAACTGTTCTCATGTTAAATGAAAAGGTTCGTTTCATTAGTTGAAATATAACCTTCGTGAATATTGAGTGATATAATATGTAAATTAAATGTTAAAAAATGCTTTTAGAAGTTTTAATGGCTTAACATTGTTAATAAGACACCTGTTAATATAATTTTTTTTAGTTCTGGCATTAATCCCCCGCGCTCTCCCCTAGCCCGAGAGCCCTCCCTTTCAAACTGAAATGGCGAGGTAGGATGAGAAAAAAAAAAGTAATCACAGTAACTGTCACATATTCATAGAACCTATTGATTTATTTTAAGAACACTTGAGTAATAATGGCCGTCAAATACACTACTTATACCAATGTTTCCTTGATAATATGTCTAGAGTGTAATCGATTGTTTTCATTTCGCAACTCTGTTGACTTTCATAATTAGAAGGCTCAGCAAGTCTTCCTGAAAACCTCCGAAAAAAAAGTATCGCGGCAGATCTATCTAAGTAGAAGAGAATGATATGGGATGACACCATTGAGCAGTAGAATCAACGGTGGGTAACTACTGATAAAGGCTTTACTTTGAGAAAATACTTTCCTACCGCCTATTCAAGGTTGGGAACGAAATGGGTCCTCTCTGATTATTTTTTTTTTATTTGTTTTCCACCCTCCCATGCCACCAGGGCAACACGGGTGTATGCAGTAGTGTGATGTTAAGCATTAATGCATAATAACACACTACTGCCATAATATCGGTTTACAAAATTCTAAGCTGTGCACACAGCTAGCTCTTCTACTTTTTCCTGGCTCCTTTAGGCCTGGCTTCCCGAATCCGGAGGTCTTCCTGGGACTGGTCCTCTTCTCCTTCTGCGTGCACCTAGGTTGAAGTGAGCTGGGCCCACCGCCGTCTTCCAGCCATTTATAAACTCTTTGAACCGCGGGAAGTTTTCTTCACTCACCAACTGAGGAAACTCCTCCTCAGTGAGGACGTAAATCCCCGTGGTTCTCATTAACCTCGCTCTTAATTCGTCGAAAGCAGTGCAGGCCGTGACCACATGCTCAACAGTCTCCGGAACACCACAATCGGGGCAGTGGGGATCTATATCCTGTCCGTAGCCATGGAGTTTAGCTCTGAAACCCCCATGTCCCGTGAGAAATTGTGAAACCCAATAGTCCGGGAGGACCCATTTCGCCTGTAACCGAGATTCAACGGTGGGAAAGTATTTTCTTAAGGTACTGCCTTTCGGAGTCGTCACCCACCGTCTGCTCCAATCTTCAATTGTTTCCTCCCGGATAATCTTTTTCCATTTATTTGGGTTTTCAATAATCCTCATCCGTAGGTTCTCCGATAGACTAGTTGAGCCCTCCTTCTTGTAGTCATACCTGGTCACTTCTTCTCGCAGGAGGAGGTCGAGAGGCACCACCCCCGCTAAGACCTGCACTGCTTCATGCGACGTAGACCTATATGCTCTGGTGACCCGAAGCAGAGCAGTTCTCTGAGTCGATGCTAGCCTATTTCTTTGTCTGAGTGTGAGGTTTCGGAACCAGAAGGGAGACGCATACCTAAGGATACCCTCCACAACACCCTTATAAATAGTGATAGTGGCTGGATACCTAAGGCCCCAAAATGCGCCCCCCACACGACTTAGACCGTTCATTGCTAGGGCCACCCTACCTGCCAGATATTCCAAATGAGGCGTCATATTGAGGCCTACACCTAACCTAACCCCTAGGTAGGTTACCACCTCACTTGGACGTATCCTCTGACCTTCTATGTACATCGTTATAGGGTGTGCCCTATCAGTCTTTCCCTTAAGGAGGATGGCTTGAGTCTTAGCAGCAGCCATCCTCATCTTCTTCCCCTCACACCATCTAGCGACTAGGCTGGCGCATCGCTCTGCTTCTCTCTTGACTCCAGCTCTGCTGTTGGAGGCCACCACAGCAGCTAGGTCGTCAACGTAAGCAGTGGCAGGAAACCGCTCCTCCTCTAACACTCCCAGTAACTCATCAAAGACGAGCTTCCATAGAGCAGGACCAAGCACCGATCCCTGAGGGCAACCTCTCTCTATGGAAGCTTCTACCTCGTAGTAATTGCCTCTAATCTTGACACTTCTATCCTGGAGATAACTTCTTACTAATGTGTATAAGTTACTAGGAGCATCATACCTCTGCAGCTGCTGGAGCACGCTAGGCCACCATACGCTGTCAAAGGCGGAGGATATATCGAAAAGAAGCAACATGACATACCGCTCCGCCCTCTCCTCAACATCTCTGCGCACTCTCAGCAGGGCATCAGCGGTTCCTCTGCCTCTGGTTGATCCATATTGCCGTGGATGACTTGCTCTAGCGAAAACAGGCCGTAAACTAGTCATCATGAGGTTCTCCAGGACCTTGCTAATCACAGGGAGGAGACATATAGGTCTATATGAATTAGGGAGTTGTTTGTCCCTATCTCCTCCCTTGTAGAGTAGTCTCAAATCAGCGATCTTCCATCTTCTTGGAAAGTATCCCATATCCAGACATTCATTGAAAATACTCAACAGCCGGTCTTCAATATACGTGATACTGTTCCTCAAGATCGCTGCATCTATTGCATCAAGTCCTGGAGCACGATTAGTCTTCTGCTTATCCACGGCAATACGAAGATCGTGAATGTCCCATGGTGGGCACAAATCTGAACCAGGTGGATATACCGTGGTGCGTCTCACAAAATCATCATTTTCGCTGTCCTGGGTTGGGTCATCTCTGGGATATATTGCTTCAATGAAAACATTGGCAGTTTCTTCAAGGGTGGTTGCCTCAGTATTATGATACCGCAAGGCTGCAATAGTCTGCATCGGGGACAACTTACCCAATGCTACCCTATACGGAATACCCCAGGGATTCTTCAAAGACTCTTCAATGATGAAATCATCCCAAGACTTCCGCTTTTGTGAGCGAACCTCGTTTCGGTATATCCTGGCTTTTGACTTGTACTCATTGCGAAGTACAGTGCGCCTCTCTTCGCATCTGCACCTCTGATATGACCGCCGGGCCTTGTAGAGGTCTCGTTTTAGAACAGTTAAGGCTGGCGTCCACCATGGGACAGGTCGAACCCTCGCCTTCCGGTGCTTGAGGGAGTGTTCGGCAGCATCACGAATGTTGTTGGTAATCCTGGACACCTTGTAGTCCAGATTGTCAACTACATCCATCTCTGCCGCTTCCCACTCCTCGTCTGCAATCACTCCTTCCAGGTAGGACCTGAAGACACTCCAGTCATTTATTTTAGTGACGAAACCCTTATCAGTACCGTGGGAACATCCTGGCTCATTTACCAGGCCAATTGCTATCGCAACGTGATCGGAACTCGTATCAGATCTGAGAGTCCAATCAGCAATATACCTCGTAAGCGCAGGCGTGGCGATCGTGACGTCAATCCAACTCTGCCCCATGCCTCCAGAGAAGGTAGGGGTGGCAGAGGGTTCGTTCATCACGACAAGGTGATTTCTGCCTATGAAATTTCCCATTTTAGCGCCTCGCCTGTCAGTAATATTGGACCCCCAGACCGTGTTCCAGGAGTTGGTATCTGAGCACATGATCACATTCCTCATCTCTCTAATGATCGCCTCCATAGCGGATATGCTTTCTTCTACATCACTATTCACAGGTAGGTATGCCGATACCAATGTGAAAGAAATCTTGCCCCACTTAACATAGCAAGATGCATAATCCGCCATGGTGTGTTGTCTCAGATCCATCACGTCAAGGTTAGGATTATTAATCACTATTGCAGCCCTGGGCCTCCTCTCTCCACTGCTCAGGGCTATAACTCTTGACGTGAGGCCAAACCCCGTAACCCTGTTCCCACGGCAGCTAGGTTCCTGGACCGCCATGATATCGTAGCGTTGTGCCATGGCGCGAAGCTCGTCAGCCACAATATGCCGGCGGCCCATATTCAACTGCAGGATGTTGAGTCTAATCATAGTGAGTTCTCCTCACTAATTCTTGAGATCTCTTGATGTGCACTGGGCATTCTCTACTTCCTGCCTGGTGTTTAGCCTTACTTTTTTGAACACCTTCCCTCACGCAGTTAACGCATGTAGGTGCGGTCTTATTTCCTTTTGCGGGACAGTTTTTAGCAATATGCCCACTCGCCGCACACCACTTGCATACTATGCCATTTGCCTCACAAGTAGCTTTTGTATGTCCATATCCCTGACACCTTAGACAGGGAGGAGCATCGGGGTAATCTAAGATTGTCAGTGACCACCAACCTCCTGTAATTATTTCCTCCTTGAGTAGATTATATCTTACCATTGGATGTACTTCTAACACCCAATTATTGGTAATTTTATTTCTAGCCATTGATGAGAACAATGGCTTTATATTACCTAATTGGTTCTCAGAAATAACGGCCGATTTTGCAGCCAACCTTTCCCATAGCACCCTTTCTAGATTTTCCGCAGTCCATGAAAGGGGAACTCCTTTTACCTCCACTTTTGGTTTTCTTTTTAAGGCTAGTTTTGCCTCCATCCCAACTTCTTTTAATTTTTGCCATTCAATTATTTTTTTCGCATGGGCACCCTCATCTACACAAACTAAAACTGAGCCAGCTTTGGTCGCCCGTACAACTCTCGCCTTGACTCCTAGTTCAGTTGGAGAAGGCAGATTGTTGATGATGTCAGCTGCACTTTTACCTTGAGAAGCGATGGTAACATAAGTTGGTCTTGTAGTATCCATCGGTTTTAATGGAAGCCCTTTAACAATATCGGCCATCGTAGTCTGATGTGTAGACCTTTTCTTGGTCAAACTTTCCTCTGCTATTGGTTTAGAGGCCTCGATCTCTTTGGCCACTTGTGGAAGAGCCTTTTTCCTTCTTTGCTTTTTCTTTACTTCCTGGAAACTTTCATTCTCCGTGGTCTCAATAATAGCGTGGGCATCGGCTAATAGCGGTTGTTCTTTAACGCATGGAAACTCCCGAGATGTCTGAGGTTCTGACAGTGGTCTTTGTATGGTTTTACTTTCCGACTTGAGTCCCTCGATAACCATAGGTACTGCTTTTTCCACTAATGCATTTACTATGATATCATACATTTCAGAGGAAGCTAATGTGTCCTTTACCACACGTTGTACTAAAAACGTTTTTTCATAGTTCTTATCATATATTGTCTCCATTATATCTATTAACTGCTGAATTTTCCCATTAACGTGCTTTTGTACCTTCGCACTCACGTTCCTGTCTGTTGCGTTCATGTAGACCCTGATGTTTTCTTTGATTCTACGTGCATCTTGCAGAAGACTATCGTCTACACGTTCTTTATCTGTTTCTTCTCGGGCGTCAGGAGATCCTTTCCTTTGCCTCTTTGCTGAAGGCCTTGGGCACTTTATAGCCTGTTCTTCCACCATTTCCTGCTCCATTGCTGATGCAATTTCATCAGCCATCTTACTCAATCCAAAATTAACAACTTTATACGTTGAAATAATGGGTGAACAACAGTAGAAGGAAATATTCAACACTCAAAATCTAACCTACGTTCGGGAAACTTATAAATTTCCTATCTTCAAAAGTAAGACTTTAATATGAACTTACCTTAGTGCTTCACCAACGTAATAGTCTCTAAACGTCCTTTTGGTTAGATTAAACCTTCGTGAAAACCACAAAGTTAACCTTAACCTCCACTGTTCACTCAAAAAGTTTATAAAATTAACTAAATAAACATAAACTAAAACTAAATCATGTTCAAAAAACTATAAAACACTAAAATAACACAAACAGTAGGAAACGATACAACAAAACTAACAAAACAAACTTGAAAAATACAAAACACTGAGAAGCACAATAACACTTTATCATAGGTAGATAACCTCACCGTCCTCTCTGATTAGTGGGTGTCATAATTATTCACAAGGAATGGGATGTTTCGCGCAAAGATCCATGCCCTTGGAAGGGAAATTAATTCTCTATGTCCCTGTTGTTGCCTTCCGAACACTGCTACGCATGTCTTCATGACTTGCACCAATTTCGAGGCAATAAGGACCAAAGTATTGAGGGAAACCGGACTCTACATCATCACAAAGGGCGATTTCCCTCAGCTAGCAAGCAAAGCTAACTACCCGTACAACGAAGCTTTCGTATACGGGTGGAAGTAATCAGTGAGGGTTCATCATTCCAACCTTCAGTAATGAAGAAGAGCGAAGAAAGAGAATGTGGTAGGAGTATCGTGCTATTTCTGTATTGTACCAAAAATCTGTATTGCTGAGAGGCCAGGGAAGATGAAAATATAAGGTTGATTATAAATATTGTTTCCATTGATTCCTATTTCGTTAAAGTGAAACTCTTATAAATTAGGTTTATAGATATTTAATACGTTGCCAGAGGCAGATATATCGATGATATCGATAAGAGAGTGTGAGTCATTTGGATAACTGTGGAGGTATGTAGGACTGTTATCCATGCCTTTTGTTGTCGATGTTGAAAAGCACCTCACATAACACTGAGGTCATATGCTACATATGACTATATACATATCATACTACATACTACATATAAGTATATATCTCCGAAAATATACTTCACAATATTTATTGCAATCGTTAATAATCATTAATGAATAGTTTTATACTATTTTTAAAGTTCGTTTAACTGTACCGCGCATGGTCATGAATTTTATGAAATTAGAAACAGACAAAGGGGAATCCAAATCGGATTCGATTCCCACCCAAATCAATTAAATTATTTAGTTCAAGTGCCATTTAGGGAACTTTTAATAGTCCACTTTGATTGGAAAGAGCGCCTAGCTGTAGATAGCCGCCCGTAATCATCCACTTCTTCGATCCCTCTGAATTGTAATGTAGAGTCCTTTATTACCTCTAGCGGAAAAATAATTAAAGGGGAAATCATATCTCCAATTTATAAGATCTTAATAGTAAATGCTTCTATTATTCTAATGCTGGCCCGCAAATTCTGTTGGATGGCCTGCGGTGTTTTCAAGGCCTTTGGCTTCGTAAACACTGGTCGGAAAACTCGTTTATGCTAAACAAGAAAAAGTAAGTGAGGAAAATACAAACATAAAATGCCTGGGCCTAACAAGCAAATATTGTTTCTTTACGCAACTCAAACAAAACTTTCTCTTTATGTCTGCTACTCCATTTTTTTCTGTATTTTTTTTTCTCGATAATAACGCCTAATTTTTTTAAGTATTCAAATTTCAGAAATTTATTTTCTTCAAATTGTACTGTTTTCGAAACAAAAACAGGTTTTATAATCCATGATATATATTTTTTCTTGTTTAATCTTAAAATAATTGATTTTCCACTCTATCGAAAATGATCGGAAATTCGGACCCATTTTATATATTGAGGTTGTAATCCGCGGCACAAATCACTTCTCTGTCTAATTATTAAATTCCGTCCTGAACTTCTGGAAGGTCATCATCGTATCGTAAATTACTACTTTTTATTTTTGAAAATTCTTGGGTTATTCTTTCGGAAGATTCTTTCGAAAATTGGGAGGATCAGAGGATCGATAAACATTGTCTATTAATGAGGTATTAAAAACTCATGAACGGCCATTTGCTTTCCACTTGAATTGTAAGATGATCGAAAAAAAAAAGGTGGTCTGTAAAAATATTAGACCTTTATGCGTTTCCTGTACTCCCAAGTTGTCAAAACGACGAGGTTATTTTGGCCAAACGGAACAATATTTTGTAGGCCTCATTTTTTCTCAATTTTGTGATCAAATTACCTAACTATTCGAGTTAAAAGCAGATAGGTATTCGTGACTTTTTAGTACATCATTAAGCAATTAATTTTAAAATAAAACCTCCCATTACAGAGAATTTTCTTAAATAAAAAAATTGGTTGTTACTTTAAGATGAAGCCATTTTCGAAGTTTTAGACGGATTTGATAAAAAGAGGTGTGTACCACGGACTATTATGTATATATATATATTTGGATCAAAAGAGAAAATTAAGTATGTGTGTTTTATTACTAAACAATTTCGGCAGACCAATTTATTTAACTTTTTTTTTTCTTATCTATATCCCCTCTAAATTGAGTAAAAAGCGTCTATTAGTATGTGGATTGATTCGGTATTTGGTAAATACTTTTTCTAGGGTTCAAAATTTTTCTATTAGCCTCGCCAATTTTTTTCTTGTTTTTGTTGTCTGAATATATTTCTCCATTCTAACATTTTAAAATATCAGATTTGAAAACAAATTTGTAAAAAGATTAAAAAACCATGATAAAGATATTAAGCTGTTATATTCGATTTATTAAGGTAAGGTAAGGTAAATTATTGTCACATTTCAACTGCTTTCCATTCAAATTTTAGAAAAGAATAATTACTTAGAGTCGACGATCTGCTGTTTAGCCTTTTTTTCCTTTGCTCTAGAACCAACCCAATCAACTGTGGGCAAATAAAACATATTCCCGTCTGGTTTAAAACTTTTCTTCCCTTCCGCGAATAGCAAGCTGTTTCAGGCTTGTGCTGCTGTAGGCCTCTTGAATAGCAGATTTCGTTATTCCTCTCAGTAGCTTGTTTCTTTTTTATTTAAATAACTAATATATTTTTATTTTTACTTCTTGTATTCGCATCTACCCTAGAAGGTGATTGGCGGTAAGTTATTCCTTTGTATTGTAATACTTAGTAGAGTTAAAACATACTGGCGAATTTGATATTTTCATTATCTTTCAATTTCGTTGATATTTTTAATTTTTGTCAACTTTTTTTTCCGAATTGAGAGCTTCTGGACATCTAAGAAGATATAAGTGTGTAAAGAGGCTGTGATCAATTCGTACTCGGCACAATATGATTTCTTCCCTTCTCGATTTTCTCGTCATCTTGGATTTAGATTGCTTTATTTTTCTTCTAATTTCTCATAGCTTTTTCTTTGGCCGGTGTACCCAGTACTCCACTTCTATATTGCCCAAGATGCCGTTGTAATACGGAACCCAGAGGAAGACTACAGTCAATGTTCTATATTTCATCTCCCCCCCCCCCATAGGTTCAACAGTTCTCTTATGGAGTTTAGTTACTTTTCCTTGGGCAACCAATTGCCACGACATTAATGAAATCGATTGATCTTCCAGTTATTTTCTTTAGAATTTTATATCCAACAAAGGGCCTGTTATTATCAATGGTCGCTGTTATTATCAAGTGAATAAAGACCTCTCTTCTGGTATTTTAAGTAGAAGCTGTAATTAGTTTTTGTTAACATAGACAGCGCAGCCAATGCTATTTTCTACCCTACTTTTATTCTATTAAAAGATTTTCAGTTCAGGAATGGGTCGCATTGTGTTCAGTTCCATTAAACATTTCATTCTATAGAATAGATTTTTTTTTTAAATTGTCATAAATATTTTAGGACTTAATTATTTCATCGTTTTTTTTTCCTCTCACTCGCTGCTACCATCGAGCCGATTACTGGCCGAACCCGCAGATCATGGCTGACTCCTGAAAAGATTAAAGCCGTTGAGGAAGGCAGAAGATAACTAATGCAGGGGGCTTCCCCTCCTGCATGTCTAACTGCCCGCTCCTCCACCTCCGTAATTTCATTTGCTATCTCTTCTTAAATAATCTATCTTAACCTTACACCTGGGGTCTTCAAGACGACTCTCAGCGCTATATCCTATGCACACTGCCCATAGGGGTTTGTAATAAAGGGTCCTCTAGACATGGTCAGTATAGGTTTATGGGTGTGGAGCACAGGGATTATTGAAATCACCGCGATTGTTTTAGTTAATTGGAGTAAAAATCTTTATTATTTATTTCATTATACAAATATGGGATTCTTATTCAAAATTTAGGAAAACCTGATATATATATATATCGTATATATACCTGATATATGATATATATAGAGTAATCATTAAGTACTCTTATATATATATAAAAGTACTTAATATACTATTTACAAGTTCTATCCTTTATAAAAAATATAAATTTTTGGACCATTTTGTATTTCAATAAAAACAAAATCGCAATAAAAACAATAAAGGATTTCGAACCCCGATAAAAAAATTGGGAGTTTATGTTATGTAAATAAATTATGAATGATAGTTAACATAATTATTGTAAAACGAGCAATATTATACTATATATAAAAATAAATTTACATTAATGTTTTTATTATGTTTTTTTCGTACGGATATATTTGAAGATATGTTAACAAAGCAATTGGATAGATTACATGTTTTTATTTTTATTTAAAGGTTTAAGGCAATGAAATGATCTCTCAATTCTCCGATAGCTTCTAATTTGCCGCGAGAATATGATTAAACCTTCAAGTAAAAATGAAAAGGATGAATGCATATGAATGAATTATAAAATCCTAGAATATTTTGCTCCTATAACTATCTTTGAATATAAACTAAAATTTCAATACTAGGGACATACGGCAATGTAAAATACTTGAGTGCCTACTTCTAGATCGATTTTTCC